GCTAGGACGAATAGACCTGGCTTCAAGACCTTGCTCGGCCACAGGCTTATTATTTCCTTGGGCAAGTTCCGTAGTTTCTCTGAGCATCAGCACCCCGTCTGTACAATGGGGTGAAGTACAGTAGCTCAGCTACCACAGAAGTGGGGGGCTCTGTAAGTCACTAATAGAACAGGGAATCCTGGGAACCAGCCCTCCGGCTTTCACAAGCTTCTTACAGTGGATGCATATGTGGCATTCACAACACCCTGTAAACGTGGCCCTGCTTTGCCCTCTGTCACCAGGCTGTGGTGCCTGATGCTGTTGGCTATTGCACACCATTGAGACCCTCAGGGCTCCAGCTGGGGTTTTGAATGCCTGTCTCAAATCCTCAGCATTTGGTGAGGGCACCGGTCGGATCTGGGGTTCATTTGCAAACGTTAGACCCAGATCCCCCCTAGGTTTGCGAGGGGCATACATAAGAACATAAGAATGGCCATACTGGGTCAGACTAAAGATTCTTCTAGCCTAGTATCCTGTCTTCCGACAGTGGCCGATGCCAGGTGCCCCAGAGGGAATGAACAGAACAGGGAATCATCAAGTGATCCATCCCCTGTTACCCATTCCCAGCTTCTGGCAAAGAGAGGCTAGGGACACCTTCCCTGCCAATCCTGGTTAATAGCCATTGAGGGACCTATCCTCCATGAATGTATCTAGTTCTTTTTTGAACCCTGTTATAGTCTTTGCCAGAGGATGTTGTGAAGACCAAGAGTTCCACAGGTTGACAGTGCGTTGTGTGAAGAAATACTTCCTTTTGTTTGTTTTAAACCTGCTGCCTATTAACTTCATTTGGTGCCCTCTAGTTCTTGTGTTATGAGAAAATAACACTTCCTTATTTACTTTCTCCACACCAGTCATAATTTTTAGACCTCTATCATATCCCCCCTTAGTTGTCTCTTGTCCAAGCTGAAAAGTCCTAGTCTTATTAATCTCGCCTCATATGGAAGCTGTTCCATACCCCTAATCATTTCTGTTGCCCTTTTCTGAACCTTTTCCAATTCCAATATATCTTTTTTGAGATGGGGTGACCACATCTGCAAGCAGTATTCAAGATGTGGGCGTACCATGGATTTACAGAGAGGCAATGTGCTATTTTCTGTCTTATTATCTATCCCTTTCCTAATTATTCCCAACATTCTGTTCGCCTTTTTGACTGCCGCTGCACATTGAGTGGATGTTTTCAGGGAACTATCCACAAGTGACTCCAAGATCTCTTTCTTGGGTGGTAACAGCTAATTTAGACCCAATCATTTTATATGTATAGTTGGGATTATGTTTTCCAGTGGGCATTACTTTTCATTTATCAACATTGAATTTAATCTGCCGTTTTATGAGATCCTTTTGTAGCTCTTCGCAGTCTGCTTTGGACTTAACTATCTTGAGTAATTTTGTATCATCTGCAAATTTTGCCACCTCACTGTTTACCTATTTTTCCAGATAATTTATGAATATGTTGAATAGGACTGGCCCAGTACAGACCCCTGGCGGGACCCACTATTTACCTCTCTCCATTCTGAAGACTGACCATTTATTCCTGCCCTTTGTTTCCTATCTTTTAACCAGTTACCAATCCATGAGAGCACCTTCCCTCTTATCCCAGGACAGCTTACTTTGCTTAAGAGCCTTTGGTGAGGGACCTTGGCAAAGGCTTTTTGAAAATCTAAGTACACTGTATCCGCTGGATTCCCCCTAGTCCACATGCTTGTTGACCCTCTCAAAGAATTCTAGTAGATTGGTGAGGCGTGATTTCCTTTTACAAAAGCCACATTGACTCTTCCCCAACAAATTATGTTCATCTATATGTCTGACAATTCTGTTCTTTACTATAGTTTCAACCAATTTGCCCGGTACTGAAGTCAGGCTTACTAGCCTGTAATTGCTGGGATCACTTCTGGAACCCTTTTTAAAAATTGGCATCACATTAGCTATCCTCCAGTCATTTGGTACAGAAGCTGATTTAAATGATAGGTTACAGACTACAGTTAGTCGTTCTGCAATTTCACATTTGAATTACTTCAGAACTCTTGGGTGAATACCATCTGGTCCTGGTAACTTATTACTGTTTAGTTTATTAATTTGTTCCAAAACCACCTCTAATTACACTTCAATCTGGGACAGTTCCTCAGATTTATCATCTAAAAAGAATGGCTCATGTTTTGGAATCCCTCTCACATCCTCAGCCATGAAGACCAATGCAAATAATTCGTTTAGTTTCTCCGCAATGGCCTTATCATCCTTGAGTGCTTCTTTAGCGTCTCAATCGTCCAGTGCCCCTACTGGTTGTTTAGCAGGCTTCTTGCTTCTGATGTACTTAAAAACAAATTTGCTATTACTTTTTGAGTCTTTGGCTAGCTGTTCTTCACATTCTTTTTTGGCCTTCCTAATTATATTTTTACACTACATTTGCCAGAGTTTATCCTCCTTTCTATTTACCTCATTGGGATTTAACTTCCACTTTTTAAAAGATGCCTTTTGTGCCTGTCACTGCTTCTTTTACTTTGTTGATTAGCCACGGTGGCACATTTTTGGTTCTCTTACTATGTTTTTTATTTGGGGTATACATTTAAATTGAGCCTCTATTAGGGTGTCTTTAAAAAGTTTCCATGCAGCGCACAGGGATTTCACTTTTGGTGCTGCACCTTTTAATTTCCGTTTAACCTACCCCCTCACTTTTGTGTCGTTCCCCTTTCTGAAATTAAATGCTACAGTGTTGGGCTGCTGTGATGCTTTCACCACCACAGGGATGTTAAATTTCATTATATTACGGTCACTAGTACCAAGCGGTCCAGCTACATTCACCTCTTGGACCAGATCCTGAGCTCCACTTACGTTCAAATCAAGAATTGCCTCTCCTCTGGTGGGTTCCAGGACTAGCTGCTCCAAGAAGCAGTTATTTAAGGTGTCAAGAAACTTTATCTCTGCATCCCATCCTGAAGTGACAGGTACCCAGTCAATATGGGGATAGTTGAAATCCCACATTATTATTGAGTTTTTTATTTTTATAACCTCTCTAATCTCCCTAAGCATTTCACAGTCGCTATCCCCATCCTGCTCAGGTGGTCAGTAATATATCCCTACTGCTATATTCTTATTATTCAAGCATGGAATTACTATCATAGAGAGTCTATGGTATAATTTGGTTCATTTAAGATTTTTACTTCATGTGATTCTACTCTTTCTTTCACATATAGTGCCAGTCCCCTACCAGCATGACCTTTACTGACCTTCCGATATATTTTGTACCCTGGTATTACTGTGTCTCATTGATTTTCCTCATTCTACCAAGTTTCCATGATGCCTATTATATCAATATGCTCATTTAACACGAGGCACTTTAGTTCACCCATCTTATTATTTAGACTTCTAGCATTTGTATATAAGCACTTTAAAAACTTGTCACTTTTTAGCTGTCTGCCATTACATGATGTAATTGAATGGGACTCTTCTTCGTTTGACTGTTTCTCATCAGATCCTACCTGTATTTTATCATCTTCCATCCTCTCCTCCTTACTAGGACGTAGAGAATCTCCATTAATAGATCCTCCTCTAAGGGATGTCTCTGTCTGAACCATGTGCTCCTCCGCACCTGTCGGCTTTCCCCCAGCCCTTAGTTTAAAAACTGCTCTACGACCTTTTTAATTTTAAGTACCAGCAATCTGGTTCCATTTTGGTTTAGGTGGAACCCATCCTTCCTGTATAGATCTCTCTTTCCCAAAAGTTTCCCCAGTTCCTAATAAACGTAGGGAAGGATGTGCTGAAGCCATAGTTTGGTTGATCCCATCTCTAAAAATAACAAGAAGAAAGTGACATAAATCTGATTCCGGCTTCACTGTTTCATTCCTGCAGTAATTCCTGGGCTGCCTTCCTTGTCTTAGTCCCCTCTGCTTGCCTTCTACTGCTCTTTGGCAGTAATGGGTAGCTAGTATCTAAAATGGAACAAGCCCAGTTAAGTTAGCAGCACGCACAGCGTCTTTTGCCATGAGGGCAGAGAGATCTCTGGCGGTGCAGTCCCCAGAATGAGACGGATCAGTCGTCATTTAGAAAGGCGCTTTGATGGTGCAGCATGATGCAACTCCTGAAGAAATGGATCTCACTGCAAGGCTGTGGACTCTGCCATTTACCCGCTATTTAAATGAGCCCTTACCCAAAACCCATTGACGTCAGTGGGAGTCTTTCCTCTGCCTTCAGTGAGGTTTGGGTCAGACCTGGGCAGCATTAAATGTAGACAACTAGAAATAATTGTGTTAAATAATGGCAATATTAACAGGGGCTAGTCAGTAGAAGTGATTGGGTGAGATTTGCCAGGGGATCACAAGATTGTTGGGACCGACTTACAAACTTCCCTAAAAATGATTTTTTTTTTCTGTTGCAAAATGTGGTCTGGCACGACTTCCAAAAATCAGCTTTGCAGGCTGAAAATCCCAACGGGGATCTAAAAAACAAATTCATCATGGGCATAAATACGCGAGCATGGAGCACCCTCTCCCTGATCACTCCACCAGCTCCGCCGTTCCAATCTGGAGCCCAGCCGAGGCACCTTCATCTCGAGTTGCAGCACCCTGCTCTTCTAATCTTAGCCTCCCAACACAGCTCAGCCAATGCAGCTGACCTGTATGTTTCGGAGGAGTCTTTGGAATCCCACCCCCTTCCCCATTTAGAGCAGAGCAACGGAGCTATCCAAGGGCCAGCTAAGCGAGTCATACTTGTACATGTCTCCTCTCCGACACCCTGTGTCCTCCCGAGGACAGTCAAGTTACAGTCAAGCTCATTTGTGTGCACTAGGCATCATCAACCCGGTTCAAGACCAGCATAGTTATTGGGCAGGAGAGCCTAAGAAGCCAGTGCGCAAACCCAACACTCTCCAGGAGCGGAGTTATGGCAGCCAGGGCGGTTAGGCAGTAGGGCAGGGGAAGGTGGTACTCAGACACTTCTGCACTTCATTGGCTCCCTCGTTCCTCTTGCAGAGTCAGTGCCGATGGCGGTGATCATAGGCGTCGCTGTGGGAGCCGGCGTGGCATTCCTGGTGCTGATGGCCACCATCGTAGCCTTCTGCTGTGCACGCTCGCAGAGAAGTAAGTGCCTTCCCTTTCTTTCATTTTAAACACAACCGCTGGGGTTGGACTGAGAGTCCTGGAAACCGAGCTCACCTGTGTATACACAGCTTCCCAGGTGCTGTCCTTCCCTTGATCTCAGGATGAAAGGGGAGTGCAAATCCATGGCCCTGCCAGGTGTATGTCTGTAGGCTGATGGGGACACCTGCCTGCTAAGAACTTGTCTGAGATCAACCAAGCCAAACAATCAATCAATGGTAACAAATTCTTTGGGTCCCTCAGCTCTGGGTTGAGTCTGTAGCAGCAACAAGTCACCTATCCCAGGGCCAGCCCCCTGAGCTAACAGGCTGGGCTAAACTCTTCTCTCAGAGAGATGTTGTGCAGAGGTGGCGGCAACCTGACCTACAATCCATCAGCAGCCTAACGGCTGGCTAATCTGTTCCTAGAGCAACACTGAGGTGGCTTCATCCAGCGAAGGGTCTGCAGGCCACTGGCTGGTGCACTCCTGGGGGTCTGAGGCTTGTCTACTCTGCAGGGAATGCAGACGAACAGGGTAATTCACAAAGGAATTCCATACTGAATTCACCAGCCTGACACCGAGGCAATCTGTCTATCACGTGGGTACAGAACATTCAACACTACTTTTCACTCCCAAGGCACCTTCCAGGAGAGGATTTGAATGCACTTTAAAAACCAGATGGGCCAAATTCTGATCTCCGTTGTGTTGATTTAAATTATAGAGTCATTCTGGCTGTCATTTGTTAAGCAACAAAACACCTCTGCTTTAGTGAGGGGGAAACTGAGGCATGGGGCAGCTGAGTGCCTTTCAACATCATACAAAGAATCAGTGACAGAGCTGGGAATGGAATCTAGGAGCCCCAGCACCCTACTCTAATCACTGGATGATACTCCCTCATGTAAAGTTTATGTCATACAGGCAGGATACAAATACTGAAGTAGTTTCGGCCTCCGAACTTGGAACGGGTGCAAAGTGTGTTCCAGATTCTATTTTTTTAGTCCACTTTGTCATTATAAAATATGCATGTTCATAATAAGAAATTCCAGTCTCTAGTGTTTATGTTGGGCCTAGGTTGTTATGTGCTTTGCTGCAATGGGAATATAAATTAAAATGACATAAAAGGCACAGGTAAAGGAATGAAGGGGTAAACAGCTCAGGATCATGTTGCTTCATTAAAAAAAACAGAGAAATTAAAGCATGATGGTTGGCTAAATGAAAAAGGATCAAACCATCAGGGAAAGGAGCGTGATTGTTTTGAGCATCTAAGACAGCAGTAGAGAACAAGCAATCCTTGCCAGTGCTTCCCACTATAGGGACTCTGCAATAAAAACAGCCCCGCCAGAGCTGTTCATAAGCTCTTTGTTTAGTTGCCAGTGAAACACAGTTGGTTTTCCTTTTTGATTGTTTGCAAAGAAATCAAAGAGCCCCAATTCCTCCTGGACTTGGGTAACAAATGGCTGGCCTCGTACAGCAGAAACGTGTGCACTTTTAAGAGCAATAATGACGTCTGGTTTTGAACTCTCCCAACCCCATTAGCAGCTCTTGCAGATATTAGCAAATTAAATCTTGGGCAGTCATTCATGTTGCATTTTTGTAAGTATTTCTGATGGACCAGGGATGAGCCAGTTCAGTTTCGCTGGACTCATTCAGCGACAATGTGTGATTCAAGCAGCCTGACAGAAAATGGGCCAAATTGCTGTTACCATGTCAATGGTCAGACATAATCAGCCATGCTTTTCCCCATCGCTTGTAGATAGCCACACACTGCACCATTCCAAGGAGGGAATGCATGTGGCTCATTATAGGCTGCTTCTTTGATGGAACCAGATGGTGCTGGGTTCTTTACGGGACATACACTCTCACATTAATGCGGTGATGATAGATCAGATATGCAATGGAGGTGCCAGGGCTTAGAGTGGGAAGCAACGCCAGAGACTGAACGTGTCAGTTACTCAAAGGCTACGACAGTTGGAATAGCAACTGGCATGCCACTGCCTGCTCTCGCCAACCTTTGGAGTAGAATTCAGCGGTTGCCTGCTGTCTGGCTCTCTGTGCGTTGGTAGGTCTGCTTGGCCTCGTCAGCCTTAGCTCTCAAAGATTCCTTGTGCCCTTCAGCAAAGGAACATATCCACTTTTTCCTACATCCTCAAAGGAGTTTAGGCACCTTCCGCCCATTGGTTTCAATGGCACCTCTGAGGATCTGGGCTTTCGTCTCTTTGTGCCTCAGCACTCCTGTATAATGGAGATAACAGCTGTTACCCTGCCTAGCCCAGATGTGCGATCAGTGACAACGGTTACTCTGACCTCCATACCCAGTGGGGTATGGGAAAATGGGGTGGTGGTGGGAGGGGGAGGCTTGCACTGCTGCTGTGCTTAAGCAATTTTAAACTTGGGTGCTTCAGGGGTAGGCACCTCAAGAAATGACCCAGTCTGAACATACAGAGCTTCCAAGGATTTCAGTGGTGTTGCATGGCAATAACCGAGAACAGATCTTGGCCCCACCGCGTGAGCATGAAGCAAGCTACACGTGAAATGTATGGCTGTCGCCTTTTGGGGTGCAGTCCAGAGCAGTGAGGGCTGTGTCACTACCTGCCTGTAACCCTGAGTGCCTTAAATGCTCCGCTGCTCTGCCACAGCCAGCCAACAGACAAGCATGCTGAATCCTGCATGTCTGTGTGCTGCGCAGCCGTGGGGCAGTGCTTCGGGCCTCAGCAGCCTGCCTACCAAACAACAGCCCCACCCTGCAGTCCACCAGCTTTGGTCACGCCTCCAGTTCTGACTGTCCCCAAAATCCCTGTGTGGAAGTGGCCAGCCCCCGTCCTGGAGCGTGCTAACAAATAATAAGCTTTGCTTGCACCTTTAAGAGACCATACCCAGCAGTTTGCCACCTTAACGGGATTTAACAATTCCTTCATTTCAAACACAGTCTTGGGTTGGTTTAGATTAAAGTTTATTCACAACAGGACATAGGTTAAGTGATGCCAAGTACAATAAATAATGGCAGAGATGGTTATCAGCAAATAGAAGTGAAAACACATCTAATGGAGGAAGGTTTCAGAGTAGCAGCCGTGTTAGTCTGTATTCGCAAAAAGAACAGGAGTACTTTTGTTAGTCTCTAAGTTGCCACAAGTACTCCTGTTCTTTTTGCTAATAGAGGAAGCTACAGTCTTAGTTTAAGATGGTTTCGCTCACCAATTACTTTTGGCCCAGCATGGCTGACTGTCTCTCTGTCAGGACTTCCACAGAAGTATGAGGTGCTGGTTTCCCTTGTCTTCATAAGAAGATTAAAGCAGGCATCTCTCTGTCCCACATACTTGCAAAGAATTGCCTTTGTTCTCAAAGACAGGGAGGCCTCCTGGGAGCTCAGTCTCCTGGGCCTCTCTGCGGAGCCATGTTAATTTTCTGGCGCTTGAGTTCCGGCTCAAAGCAAACCCCACTAGTTTGCTTGCTAGCTTTGTTTATGGCTAAAGTGTAAATGGTCCTTTGTCTAGGACAGCCCTTCTTATCACCTTTACTGAGGCTAGGCTGTCTTCCTAAACTTAGTCTAGTTATGTTATACGGCGGGAATTCATAACTTCACATACAAGGCTAACGCATGTATTTTACGATGATATTAATGACCAGTGTGCTATCAGTTTTAAGTGAGACCTCACAAGGCATATTTTGTCCAAATAGCACTGCAGTAGTGTGTGAATACAGGGGTGTAGGGCCTAGGAAATATACAGCAAGGGAAAAGCAGATGAATAAATATCCACCTCACTTATTAACAGATGGGAGCCCTTCACAGCAGGGCAGATCTTGTTCTTAGCCCAGCAGACCAAGTGCTGAGTTGTAGGGTCTGTATGCAGGGCCTGATTCCTGCCATCAAACGCATTGCCCACATGAAACCAAGAAGAATAGGCAGTTGCGATTAAAGCGCTACACTCAGGAGAGCTGGGTTCAGCTCCTGGCTCTGCCACTGAACTCTCTGTGTGACCTGGGGCAAGTCACTTCCCCTTGCCATTCCTCAGTTTCCCAATCTGTAAATGAAGGTGATAATATTTCTCCATCTCATACGGGTGTGGAGGATAAAGCCACTGATGTTAGAGGTATACAGGTACTACATGTGCCATGGGGCCATGTGTCAATAGATACAGGGGCCATGTGTCAATAGATACTTTGCTCAACTCGAGACAAACATCTGGGCAGGATTGGCGCCCAACCTGGACCTCCCACATGCTTAACTGGGACTCTGGTACGCCTTGGTTTTAGGATTGGTGCATGCCAGTTAGATCACAGAGCCTGTCCCCCTACAAAGCTAGGAGAGAGTCCCCTGGTGGAGGCCACATCAGAGATGTAATTGACCTTAGCCAAAAAGCGAGATTTCCTTTGAATAACTTCAGTTTTAACAGGCCGAAGCCAAAAGATGTTCAGATCATGGTCCAATATCAATAAATAAATGAGAAAAACAGCTCAAACGCCCAAGCTCAGTGCAGGGCATTTGTTCCTGTGCAGCCATCTGTCACACAGCCTGCCTTCCATCTGGGAACCTGCTCCAACAGTTCTGTTCCCCGCTTAAACAGAAGGGAGCTCTCCAGCTTTGTGGGGTTAAAGCCTGCTTGGGCAGCAGATGCTGTCGCAGGGACACAGCTGTGCAGTCACTCAGCTGGGCTGGCGCTTGCTAAACAACACCTGCGGGAGGCAGTTGTGCTAATGAAACGCGCTGCTCAGAATGCCAGAGAAAGGCTGCGTGTAACCTTTGTGCTTCGCGGCCATGCTTGGGGTAGCAGTGATGTGGCTGATGGTTGACTAGGCTGGCTTCCCTCATTGACAAAATGGCAGAGAGGGGTGGTTTAGAGCTGTGAAACTCCGGAGCGTACAGGACCGGATTTTCAAAAGATCCCTATGGGCAGATTTTTAAAAGACTTGGGTGCACATCTTCAGAAAATCTGGCCCAATGTGTCATGATGGGAGCTCCTGGGTGCAGGGCACTGGATAACCTGTACCTGATAGTGGTTGCTAA